ACCTCCCACTCCTTCTCCTCTCATTCACCCCCTTACCACTCTCTCTGTCCCTTCTCACCTCCTGCATCTGTACCCCAACTCTCAGCTTGTCTCCCTGCCCAGCAGTCCTCTCGTCGTGCCTGTAGACACCGTGAGCATTGAGATGCTAATGTAAGGCAAAGCTGTCTTGCCTTTGGAGAGCCCGGCGCTGACGGCCCTTCTGTTTGCCCTACAGGTGCTGTACATCAGGAAACGCAAGAGGTGAGAGTCTGTCTTGTTCTGCCCGCGGGGCGGGGCCGGGCCGGGCCGGGCCGGGCCGGGCCAGCCACACGGCACTGCCTCTCCCCCGGCTGTACGCCGTGCCCTCGGCCTTCGCCCGTTTTGCGCGCCGGCCGGCGTCCCTGCCCTCACCACGGGCCCTCTGCGCGAATCGGCGAGAGGAAGCGGTCTACCCACAAGCGAGCGTGGTTCAGAAAAACACCTCGCGGGCGCAGTCGTAGAATAGTGACGGGTCGGATTAGATCGCTTGTCCGTGGGTCGGAACATGGGGATTCCCCTCCAAGCCAGCCTTAGCAATTCTGTAGAACCACAAGGGCACTTTCTGCCTAATTGCCTGCTGGGAAACCCAGAGCACATGCCCAGTGTCTGGGGCTTCTGTAACAGGCGTTGGCTTGACTGTGATACTGTTCTTTGGTAACCAACCCCCCACCCCTGGCAGAAGAGTGCCCAGCCTCGGCACTGCAGCTCCAGCTGACTCCCTGTTAGATCTTTGTTTAACATCCATCCATCCATTTTCTAATCACTTCTTCCAATTCGGGGTTGGGGGGGGGGACGGAGCCTATCCCAGCAAGCAACAGGCACAAGGCAGGATACGCACGGGATGGGACACCAGTCCATCACAGGCCACACACAGACACACACACTCACACCAGGGCCAGTTTTCCCAGAATCCAATGAACCCACCGGCATGTCTTTGCACTTTGGGAGGAAACCTATGAGCAGAATGTACAAACCCCACACAGAGAGCACCACAGGGTCTGGAATTGAGCCCGGGACCCCAGCTCTGCTAGGCAGCGATGCTGATCACAGAGCCACCCCTGATCCACCTCAGCAGTGTCAATCTGAGTGATTACAGGGTCAGTTAACAGAATAAAGCATGGCTTGGGCTGCACAGACCTGAATTAGGGCGGAGCGGTGCCTCTGTGGCTCAGGATCTGCGCCTGTGGCTGGAAGGTTGCCGGTTCAAATCCCGCGGCCGGCAGAGGAAACCAACTCCATTGGGCCCCTGAGCAAGGCCCTTAACCCCAGCTGCTCCAGGGGCGCTGCACAATGGCTGACCCTGAGCTCTGACCCCCAGCTTCTCTCTCCCTGTCTTGTGTCTGTGTCTCATGGAGAGCAAGCTGAGGTATGCGAAAAGACAAATTCCTAATGCAAGAAATTGTATTGGGCTAATAAAGCAACATTATCATTATCACATTATCAGACGTGTTATGGCTGCCTGCTGTCTGCACTCTCTCCCCATGTCTGTGCTGCCGACCCCTCACGGCCCTCTGTGGTGTTGTCTTGTGTGTTGCCCCATTGCCTCCTACCTGACCCCTGACCCCCGACACCCGGCCCCCGACCCCTGACACAGGCTGGAGAAGCTGCGGCACCAGCTGATGCCGATGTACAACTTCGACCCGGCGGAGGAGCAGGACGAGCTGGAGCAGGAGCTGCTGGACCATGGCAGGGAGAGTGCAGCCCCTGGCACCAACAGCAAGGTACCCTTCCTCTGGCCGGGCGCGGCAAGAAAGCCAGATTCCCTCTGAGCACATACAGCAAGCTGGACACAGCACACGTGCCCAGTACACACAACAAACTAGGTGCATACTGGACACACAGCAAACTGGACTGGCACATACTG